TTTGAAAATCTGGAATCTGAGGGTGCAAAAAAACAATCTAAATATTGAGAAAATCATCTTTAAAGTTGTTCAAATGAAGTTCTTAGCAATGCATATTCCTAATCAAAAATTAAGTTTTGATATATTTACGGTAGGAAATTTACAAAATATCTTCGCGGAACATGATCTTTACTTAATATCCTAATGATTTTTGGCATAAAAGAAAAATCAATAATTTTGACCCATACAATGTATTTTTGGCTATTGCTAACAATATACCCAAGCGACTTAAGACTGGTTTTGTGGTCCAGGGTCACAAATGCTTAAAGTGATATACACTCACATGAGATGAATATTCCAGTCATATTAGCAACCTAGATAAAGCTATTTATTTTATTTCTAGTTTTTATTTTATTTTATTTTTTGTGCATGATGCCTTGCAATGTAAAAGCAGCCTAATAGAGCTGTTTATACTATTAAATAATCAATGTTCATGACCGAGAACGGCTTCTAATTTATTTTCGTATTACTAATTTAGTTTTTCATTACTGACTGTTTACTAGAACAATTACTTGTGCATTGTTCACTTAATTAAAAAAATATTCGAACAGCTACATACCATTGTTTTAAATAATTTTTTTGTATTTTTATTAATATTTCACTTTTTAGATAGCATTCAATAGCACATTGTTTGTAATAGAACAATGATGTGGTATAGAAATTGTGTTCAGAAATCATGATTTCACACATAAAACATTAAACAAGTTTTGCATTTAAAATACATAATATTAAACAGAAACATCTTAAATCAGTGACCTACTTTATTGCATTACGTTTGTGCTATTAATATCAAATGTACAGAATGGAAAACTATAGAGTGAAATTCAGATATTTAAATGTTATGCCTGTATCCTGTGGAATTTAATACAGTCCTTCTGCTTTATGTGGAATTTGACTGTCCATCAAAACTCTGTATAATAATGTCATTAAAATTCTCCAGGTTTTTTTTTTTTTTTTTTGAGCCGGCAGTTATCGGAAACTCTTGCATGAGGTCCAGTGTGACTTTCCATCAGAAGTATTTGGTGCTTGGAGCCATACACCTGTGAAACATGTTCACATTCAGAGGATTCTCCTGTAGTTCTGTCTTTTAACCCTGTAAAACCTGACATATGAAATATCGAGGAGAAAAAAAAATGTAAAGATGTAAATCTGTGAGATTTTTATAACACTATAACAGACTATTTACATAAAATGCAACTGTATAGTTCTCAAATCTCATTGCTTAAAATCTAGATTTTGCAGTCAAAAGCTTATTAAATATTGTTCTGTTCCTCATACAAAGCTATCGTAAAACTTCAGAAGAGTCATATTAGCTACTTCTAGGACTGTGTCCTTCCTCATTCACTTTTATGCTGTTTAAAAGAGCAGCGTGGACTTTCTGCTAAACACAGAAGAAAGAAAGCCATGCAGATTTGGAAATGAAGTGAGGTGTAAATCATGACAGAATTCATTTTTTTGGGTGAAATATCCCTTTAATGTGTCTGCCACATGCTCTGCAGAAGTATTTGCAGTTCAAGAACATCCAGTCTCTCAAAGCTAGACGCCACGCTGCTTTCAAATAGCAAAGCTGTCACTGTCAAGCCAGCGCTGTTCTCTCCAGGCACTCATGGTTGTCAAGTTTGTCTTTGTCTTTTTTTAATTGTAGGGCGGCCTTTCATCATGATTCCCTCTAAAGGGAGAACACACACAGGAAGCACGTTCAGCAAGATCTGAGCACTGATAGAAGATGTGTAACTTCATCATATGTATTTGTTTGTGAAATCTCTTCTATTTATTGTCTTCTTTATCCTCATCTTCACCTTTCAGAAGCAAGCATGGCCCGATCACAAGAGGGAATGCAAATGCCTCAAGCGTCTCCAGCCAAGGATCCCCACTGACTCCGTCCGCCTGCTTACGAGGATCATCTTCAAACTGGTATGTGACATCAGAACCCCTGCCGTATCAGGACCACTTCAGACTTGTTCAAAGAGTGTTTCGCCTTTAAAACTGCCACAGGGCTGTTACACCTATTCTGTCTCTTTCCAGCTCAGCCAATCAGAAAGTGACCAAGAGGAGCTATACTCGATAGCTGAACACCAGTCACGTAAGTTTATGTTTGATTGTATTGCAGTGCACTGACACAAGGCAAGCGTCTGTTGCTATATTGTATTTTTCATGACTGGAATGCTGTGCTGACCAATTAGCATCCAGGTCTGGATTTGATTTATAAAACCATATACAGTGTTGTTTGTAAATGCCTTAGAGAAAATGGGATTTTGATAATACAGCCTGAAAATAAATAAATAAATAAATCTTTGCACTGATCAGGGAGGAGACAAATTCTGAAAACATATTTTATTAAATAAAAAAAAGAAATAAATGAATTAAAGTAAAGTAAAAAATAAATAAAAAAACAGAACATTTTAAATGTTCTGAAAAAAGTAAAACATCTTAAAAAAACAATGTCTTAAAAATATCTTAATGTTGAAAAAACATCCTAAAAAAGAAATAAATGAATTAAAATAAATTTAAAAAATGAATTTAAAAAATCAGAACATTGTAAATGTTCTAAATTTTTTTTAAAACATCTTAAAAAACAACATCTTAAAAATATCTTAATGTTGAAAAAATATCCTAAAAAATAGAAATAAATGAATTAAAATAAAATAAAAAATGAATTTAAAAAATCTGAACATTGTAAATGTAAATTGTAAGAGTTTTTCTGCAAGGAAATACAATAACTACTTATAAACCATCTCTAAACTGTGTTCTAATCCAATGTTATATATATATATATATATATATATATATATATAATATTTTGTAA